TTCTAGTTCAGTTCTAGTTCAGTTCTAGTTCAGTTCTAGTTCAGTTCTAGTTCAGTTCTAGTTCAGTTCTAGTTCAGTTCTAGTTCAGTTCTAGTTCAGTTCTAGTTCAGTTCTAGTTCAGTTTTAGTTCAGTTCTAGTTCAGTTCTAGTTCAGTTCTAGTTCAGTTCTAGTTCAGTTCTAGTTCAGTTCTAGTTCAGTTCTAGTTCAGTTCTAGTTCAGTTCTAGTTCAGTTCTAGTTCAGTTCTAGTTCAGTTCTAGTTCAGTTCTAGTTCAGTTCTAGTTCAGTTCTAGTTCAGTTCTAGTTCAGTTCTAGTTCAGTTCTAGTTCAGTTCTAGTTCAGTTCTAGTTCAGTTCTAGTTCAGTTCTAGTTCAGTTCTAGTTCAGTTCTAGTTCAGTTCTAGTTCAGTTCTAGTTCAGTTCTAGTTCAGTTCTAGTTCAGTTCTAGTTCAGTTCTAGTTCAGTTCTAGTTCAGTTCTAGTTCAGTTCTAGTTCAGTTCTAGTTCAGTTCTAGTTCAGTTCTAGTTCAGTTCTAGTTCAGTTCTAGTTCAGTTCTAGTTCAGTTCTAGTTCAGTTCTAGTTCAGTTCTAGTTCAGTTCTAGTTCAGTTCTAGTTCAGTTCTAGTTCAGTTTAGTTCAGTTCTAGTTCAGTTCTAGTTCAGTTCTAGTTCAGTTCTGGTTCAGTTCTAGTTCAGTTCTAGTTCAGTTCTAGTTCAGTTCTAGTTCAGTTCTAGTTCAGTTCTAGTTCAGTTCTAGTTCAGTTCTAGTTCAGTTCTAGTTCAGTTCTAGTTCAGTTCTAGTTCAGTTCTAGTTCAGTTCTAGTTCAGTTCTAGTTCAGTTCTAGTTCAGTTCTAGTTCAGTTCTGTCAGTTCTAGTTCAGTTCTAGTAGTTCTAGTTCATTTCTAGTTCAGTTCTAGTTCAGTTTAGTGCAGTCCCAAAGGACGTAATTCCTGAGGAAATTATGAGTTTTGAATAAGTCTTAAAACGAAGAAGTCAAAATCGTAGATTCCTAAGAAACATTTTCATTATAGCACTATGCCACTGTTACACCTTTATACTTTATGTCCCTAAAAAATAAGTTTACACCACCTCCTTTATTACCAAAAAAGAAGTAAGTTACTTGCATCCTATCTTTCTTTATATCTTAAGAAAAAAAGTAACCAGAAAATATACATAAGAGGTTCAAATAAGGAAAATTCAAAAAAATAGACGTTCTTTTGTTTGAATTTCCATAAATTCAAATTAGATTGTAATATTATATTCAAAATGGATTTTATGGTAGATTGCATTCTGTGGTAAAGTACGGAAAAAGACATCTACTAAAAATATAAAAAGATACTCATATGCATATGACTTATGTATGAAGTGCAAGTGTAAAAAATATACAAAATTTTATTTGTCTTAAAGTTTTATTCCTTTTTATATGCAGGTGTGTTTATCTTAAAAATTATTTTTATTCTGAGGTTTACGGTAGATGGGTTGTTATTTATTTTACAAATTAAATTATTCTGTTTTCATTCGAATGTATGATTTGGCTTTTTTCTTATCTAAATATTACAAAAACTAAATTTGTTATGACAATTATAAATTTATTTAAAGATTTTCTTGATTTGTTTTATATTTTTTTCTAGTGAGTTGTTGAAAAGTACACATAATTTTGATAATTTAGCAAATTAAGATTGTGGTTAAAGATTTTGTATTTGTATTTTAATAATTGTTCTTCAGAATTTGAAATTTTTTAACGAAATAATAAATTATAACTATAAAATTCTATTCTACTGCTTTCTACTTTCATATTCCAATACTGAACTAGAACTGAACTACCTTATTATTATCATTGACCATTTTAAAATTGTCAACGATATAACTGCACAATTATGGGAACCCACGAAATTTAATCCATAAGTTGTTAAATGTGAACGACGATAGAGCTAAAATAAAAACATTTTACAATTCTCTTAACATTTTGTTAAATAAATAGAATTAAATAATAGGCAGATGAACTAACAAAGTTTGAAAGAGAAATAAAAAACCTAGAACAAATTATTTTAACGATGATCACAGGTGAAATAAAATTAAACAATAGAAAGAAGTTTAAGTCTTTTTGAATACAAGAATACAAAAAATAGACAAAAGAATAAACTAAAACATACGTATTAACAAATTATGGTATTTGGAGAATATTAACTTGAGCAAATACATTTGCTGTGTACAGTAGTATAAACCCAAGTACAAGCATTTGAACGCTATACAATATCATATCTTGCTTTATATTTATACTTTTTTGTTTAAACTAAAAGAATAAACTCTAAAATCTACCAAAAAAGACAATACAACTAAAATTCTATTGTTTTATAAAAGTAGATTTGTAGTCCCTTTTGGAAAATGGAACATATTTTAAACTAATGTACAATGATTGTGTAAAAAGTATAGAATATTTGTATGTTTTTTCTTTTCTTCTCTACTCGTTGTTATTCATGTTATAAATTGCATTACAATTTCTATTTCCGGTTTAAACGAGCTATATCCTATGGCTAATAGAAAACTATGTAAATACGAAAGTAGGAACAGCAGCAGCAAGTAAAAAAGACAAATATATTTTTAGAAAATATGTCTGCCATACATACGTTTGAATATTTTTCAAAATTTATTACATATTGGCCTTTTTACATGAAATGACTATGTTTGTGCCCTGCAGGAATTTTAAAATACAATTGCTACACGTGTGCCTGCATGTGCATGTTTGTGTTAGTTAGTCATTATATTCAATTTACATATTTGCCTTTAAATATAACGTCTATACAAACTTGTATAATTTGACAGTGGGATATATTTTTTGAGAGATTTTCTAAAAACTAGAACTGAACTAAAACTGAACTAGAACTGAACTAGAACTGAACTAGAACTGAACTAGAACTGAACTAGAACTGAACTAGAACTGAACTAGAACTGAACTAGAACTGAACTAGAACTGAACTAGAACTGAACTAGAACTGAACTAGAACTGAACTAGAACTGAACTAGAACTGAACTAGAACTGAACTAGAACTGAACTAGAACTGAACTAGAACTGAACTAGAACTGAACTAGAACTGAACTAGAACTGAACTAGAACTGAACTAGAACTGAACTAGAACTGAACTAGAACTGAACTAGAACTGAACTAGAACTGAACTAGAACTGAACTAGAACTGAACTAGAACTGAACTAGAACTGAACTAGAACTGAACTAGAACTGAACTAGAACTGAACTAGAACTGAACTAGAACTGAACTAGAACTGAACTAGAACTGAACTAGAACTGAACTAGAACTGAACTAGAACTGAACTAGAACTGAACTAGAACTGAACTAGAACTGAACTAGAGCTGAACTAGAACTGAACTAGAACTGAACTAGAACTAGAATTGAACTAGAACTGAACTTGAATTGAACTAGAATTGAACTATAATTGAACTAGAATTGAACTAGAACTGAACTAGAGCTGAACTATAACTGAACTAGAACTGAACTAGAACTGAACTAGAACTAGAATTGAACTAGAACTGAACTTGAATTGAACTAGAATTGAACTATAATTGAACTAGAACTGAACTAGAACTGAACTAGAACTGAACTAGAACTGAACTAGAACTGAACTAGAACTGAACTAGAACTGAACTAGAACTGAACTAGAACTGAACTAGAACTGAACTAGAACTGAACTAGAACTGAACTAGAACTGAACTAGAACTGAACTAGAACTGAACTAGAACTGAACTAGAACTGAACTAGAACTGAACTAGAACTGAACTAGAACTGAACTAGAACTGAACTAGAACTGAACTAGAACTGAACTAGAACTGAACTAGAACTGAACTAGAACTGAACTAGAACTGAACTAGAACTGAACTAGAACTGAACTAGAACTGAACTAGAACTGAACTAGAACTGAACTAGAACTGAACTAGAACTGAACTAGAACTGAACTAGAACTGAACTAGAACTGAACTAGAACTGAACTAGAACTGAACTAGAACTGAACTAGAACTAGAATTGAACTAGAACTGAACTTGAATTGAACTAGAATTGAACTATAATTGAACTAGAACTGAACTAGAACTGAACTAGAACTGAACTAGAACTGAACTAGAACTGAACTAGAACTGAACTAGAACTGAACTAGAACTGAACTAGAACTGAACTAGAACTGAACTAGAACTGAACTAGAACTGAACTAGAACTGAACTAGAACTGAACTAGAACTGAACTAGAACTGAACTAGAACTGAACTAGAACTGAACTAGAACTGAACTAGAACTGAACTAGAACTGAACTAGAGCTGAACTAGAACTACTAGAACTGAACTAGAACTGAACTAGAACTGAACTAGAACTAGAATTGAACTAGAACTGAACTTGAATTGAACTAGAATTGAACTATAATTGAACTAGAATTGAACTAGAACTGAACTAGAACTGAACTAGAACTGAACTAGAACTGAACTAGAACTGAACTAGAACTGAACTAGAACTAGAATTGAACGAGAACTGAACTTGAATTGAACTATAATTGAACTAGAATTGAACTAGAATTGAACTAGAATTGAACTAGAATTGAACTAGAATTGAACTAGAATTGAACTAGAATTGAACTAAAATTGAACTAGAACTGAACTAGAACTGAACTAGAACTGAACTAGATCTTTTACTTATAATTATTTGTGGAAAATTTCCCTATATCTGGAATTTGACCACGGTATTGAAGTTATTGCCCAAAAAGCACCCGTACAAATTCGTATCAAAAATATTTTCTATTTTAATATTGTTTTTGAATCCTTTATTTCAAACTTTGTCCTTTTTATTCTATTGTTTATGAATACGTGTAAATTGTACACTCTGAAATTGTGTGTGTGTGTGTCGCAATGTATATCTTTATGAAAAGATGTGTGTATGTGTCTATTATTTGTCTCTCTAGTTAAAAATGTGTATGTAAATTTATTTTCTGTTGTTTTTGTCATTGTAGCTCTTTGGAAACATTCCAAATTCCATTTGTTGCCGGTGAAAAGGATCTCGTGGTTTTAATTTGCAATTCAGATGTGCGGCATGAGTTATCCGACAGTGAATATCCAACAAGGCGAAAACAATGCTTGGAGGCACTCAAGTTAATGGGACTGAAGAGCTATAGAGATGCAACAGAAGGCAACTTGTCAGGTAATTAATGCTTATGTTATTATTATGCCCGGGTGTAAATATGCATACCTATGGAGGAATGGTCGTAGGTATCTCTACCTACCTATCTACGTATCATGTAAATGATTTCTATTTCTAGTCTTTTGTGATTGTTTGTCTTTAGAACATCATTGTCGATAATCGTAACAACATCTGTGGCAGCAATAGAAACTGCAGCAACAAAACATTGTCTAACATACAATAGGGTCATTCAGACGTAGGCTTAACATATTTTGTATCCCAAACTCCAAAGTGGATTCATTTTATCTCTTGGGCATACCTTAATTTGTGCAGGATGAATTCGCTGTAACATCTTGCGATAACAATGATGACTATTTATATCTCTGACTTAAATGTTGCTAAATGTTGGCTGTAACCTGAATTTAGCATTGTTGCTTATGTTGTATACATTAAAACTTCTATTATCCTTACAACTGACATGTTTTGTTTTCAACATGCAACTACTATGTTCTATACATTGCATTTCTATGATTTTTATCGCAATTTAACTTGTTACTGCAATATTTCTAGCTCGTCTATTGTCCATTATTTTATATTGCAAATTTCCGCAGAAGAAATGGAGCATATGTTTACTTTTATTCTAATCATTACGGTCAAACAGTTTTCATTGAATTTTGATCAGTATATGAGAGAATGCATTAGTTTTAGAAACCAGCATCTAGTCTTGTCTGTAGTATAGTCTTTATTCTAGTCTATAATCTAGTATATAGTCTAGTCTATAGTCTAGTCTATAGTCTAGTCTATAGTCTAGTCTATAGTCTAGTCTATAGTCTAGTCTATAGTCTAGTCCATAGTCTAGTCTATAGTCTAGTCTATAGTCTAGTCTATAGTCTAGTCTATAGTCTAGTCTATAGTCTAGTCTATAGTCTAGTCTATAGTCTAGTCTATAGTCTAGTCTATAGTCTAGTCTATAGTCTAGTCTATAGTCTAGTCTATAGTCTAGTCTATAGTCTAGTCTATAGTCTAGTCTATAGTCTAGTCTATAGTCTAGTCTATAGTCTAGTCTATAGTCTAGTCTATAGTCTAGTCTATAGTCCTAGTCTATAGTCTAGTCTATAGTCTAGTCTATAGTCTAGTCTATAGTCTCAGTCTATTGTAGTCTAGTCTATAGTCTAGTCTATAGTCTAGTCTATAGTCTAGTCTATAGTCTAGTCTATAGTCTAGTCTATAGTCTAGTCCTATAGTCTAGTCTATAGTCTAGTCTATAGTCTAGTCTATAGTCTAGTCTATAGTCTAGTCTATAGTCTAGTCTATAGTCTAGTCTATAGTCTAGTCTATAGTCTAGTCTATAGTCTAGTCTATAGTCTAGTCTATAGTCTAGTCTATAGTCTAGTCTATAGTCTAGTCTATAGTCTAGTCTATAGTCTAGTCTATAGTCTAGTCTATAGTCTAGTCTATAGTCTAGTCTATAGTCTAGTCTATAGTCTAGTCTATAGTCTAGTCTATAGTCTAGTCTAGTCTAGTCTATAGTCTAGTCTAGTCTATAGTCTAGACTATAGTCTAGTCTATAGTCTAGTCTATAGTCTAGTCTATAGTCTAGTCTACAGTCTAGTCTATAGTCTAGTCTATAGTCTAGTCTATAGTCTAGTCTATAGTCTAGTCTATAGTCTAGTCTATAGTCTAGTCTATAGTCTAGTCTATAGTCTAGTCTATAGTCTAGTCTATAGTCTAGTCTATAGTCTAGTCTATAGTCTAGTCTATAGTCTAGTCTATAGTCTAGTCTATAGTCTAGTCTATAGTCTAGTCTATAGTCTAGTCTATAGTCTAGTCTATAGTCTAGTCTATAGTCTAGTCTATAGTCTAGTCTATAGTCTAGTCTATAGTCTAGTCTATAGTCTAGTCTAGTCTATAGTCTAGTCTAGTCTATAGTCTAGTCTAGTCTATAGTCTAGTCTATAGTCTAGTTTATAGTCTAGTCTATTGTCTAGTCTATAGTCTAGTCTATAGTCTAGTCTATAGTCTAGTCTATAGTCTAGTCTATAGTCTAGTCTATAGTCTAGTCCATAGTCTATTCTATAGTCTAGTCTATAGTCTAGTCTATAGTCTAGTCTATAGTCTAGTCTATAGTCTAGTCTATAGTCTAGTCTATAGTCTAGTCTATAGTCTAGTCTATAGTCTAGTCTATTGTCTAGTCTATTGTCTAGTCTATAGTCTAGTCTATAGTCTAGCCTATAGTCTAGTCTATAGTCTAGTCTATAGTCTAGTCTATAGTCTAGTCTATAGTCTAGTCTATAGTCTAGTCTATAGTCTATCTATAGTCTAGTCTATAGTCTAGTCTATAGTCTAGTCTATAGTCTAGTCTATTGTCTAGTCTATTGTCTAGTCTATAGTCTAGTCTATAGTCTAGTCTATAGTCTAGTCTATAGTCTAGTCTATAGTCTAGTCTATAGTCTAGTCTATAGTCTAGTCTATAGTCTAGTCTATAGTCTAGTCTATAGTCTAGTCTATAGTCTAGTCTATAGTCTAGTCTAGTCTATAGTCTAGTCTATAGTCTAGTCTATAGTCTAGTCTATAGTCTAGTCTATAGTCTAGTCTATAGTCTAGTCTATAGTCTAGTCTATAGTCTAGTCTATAGTCTAGTCTATAGTCTAGTCTATAGTCTAGTCTATAGTCTAGTCTATAGTCTAGTCTATAGTCTAGTCTATAGTCTAGTCTATAGTCTAGTCTATAGTCTAGTCTATAGTCTAGTCTATAGTCTAGTCTATAGTCTAGTCTATAGTCTAGTCTATAGTCTAGTCTATAGTCTAGTCTATAGTCTAGTCTATAGTCTAGTCTATAGTCTAGTCTATAGTCTAGTCTATAGTCTAGTCTATAGTCTAGTCTATAGTCTAGTCTATAGTCTAGTCTATAGTCTAGTCTATAGTCTAGTCTATAGTCTAGTCTATAGTCTAGTCTATAGTCTAGTCTATAGTCTAGTCTATAGTCTAGTCTATAGTCTAGTCTATAGTCTAGTTTATAGTCTAGTCTATAGTCTAGTTTATAGTCTAGTCTATAGTCTAGTCTATAGTCTAGTCTATAGTCTAGTCTATAGTCTAGTCTATAGTCTAGTCTATAGTCTAGTCTATAGTCTAGTCTATAGTCTAGTCTATAGTCTAGTATATAGTCTAGTCTATAGTCTAGTCTATAGTCTAGTCTATAGTCTAGTCTATAGTCTAGTCTATAGTCTAGTCTATAGTCTAGTCTATAGTCTAGTCTATAGTCTAGTGTATAGTCTAGTCTATAGTCTAGTCTATAGTCTAGTCTATTATCTATTCTATAGTCTAGTCTATAGTCTAGTGTATAGTCTAGTCTATAGTCTAGTCTATAGTCTAGTCTATAGTCTAGTCTATAGTCTAGTCTATAGTCTAGTCTATAGTCTAGTCTATAATCTATTCTATAGTCTAGTCCATAGTCTAGTCTATAGTCTAGTCTATAGTCTAGTCTATAGTCTAGTGTATAGTCTAGTCTATTGTGTAGTATATAGTCTAGTCTATAGTCTAGTGTATAGTCTAGTCTATAGTCTAGTCTATAGTCTAGTCCATAGTCTAGTCTATAGTCTAGTCTATAGTCTAGTCTATAGTCTAGTCTATAGTCTAGTCTATAGTCTAGTCTATAGTTTAGTGTATAGTCTAGTATATAGTCTAGTCTATAGTCTAGTTTATAATCTATTCTATAGTCTAGTCTATAGTCTAGTCTATAGTCTATTCTATAGTCTAGTCTATAGTCTAGTCTATAGTCTAGTCTATAGTCTAGTTTATAGTCTAGTCTATAGTCTTGTCTATAGTCTATAGTTTAGTCTATAGTCTAGTCTATAGTTTAGTCTATAGTCTAGTCTATAGTCTAGTCTATAGTCTAGTCTATAGTCTAGTCTATAATCTATTCTATAGTCTAGTCCATAGTCTAGTCTATAGTCTAGTCTATAGTCTAGTGTATAGTCTAGTCTATAGTCTAGTCTATAGTCTAGTCTATAGTCTATTCTATAATCTATTCTATAGTCTAGTCCATAGTCTAGTCTATAGTCTAGTGTATAGTCTAGTCTATAGTCTAGTCTATAGTCTAGTCTATAACCTATTCTATAGTCCAGTCCATAGTCTAGTCTATAGTCTAGTCTATAGTCTAGTCTATAGTCTAGTCTATAGTCTAGTCTATAGTCTAGTCTATAGTCTAGTCTATAGTCTAGTCTATAGTCTAGTCTATAGTCTAGTCTATAGTCTAGTCTATAATCTATTCTATAGTCTAGTCTATAATCTATTCTATAGTCTAGTCTATAGTCTAGTCTATAATCTATTCTATAGTCTAGTCTATAGTCTAGTCTATAGTCTAGTCTATAGTCTATTCTATAGTCTATTCTATAGTCTAGTATATAGTCTAGTCTATAGTCTATTATATAGTCTAGTCTATAGTCTAGTCTATAGTCTAGTCTATAGTCTAGTCTAGTCTATAGTCTAGTCTAGTCTATAGTCTAGTCTAGTCTATAGTCTAGTCTATAGTCTAGTATATAGTCTAGTCTATATTCTAGTCTATAGTCTAGTCTATAGTCTAGTCTATAGTCTAGTCTATAGTCTAGTCTATAGTCTAGTCTATAGTCTAGTCTATAGTCTAGTCTATAGTCTAGTCTATAGTCTAGTCTATAGTCTAGTCTGGTCTATAGTCTAGTCTATAGTCTAGTCTATAGTCTAGTATATAGTCTAGTCTATAGTCTAGTCTATAGTCTAGTCTATAGTCTAGTCTATAGTCTAGTCTATAGTCTAGTCTATAGTCTAGTCTATAGTCTAGTCTATAGTCTAGTCTATAGTCTAGTCTATAGTCTAGTAGTCTATAGTCTAGTCTATAGTCTAGTCTATAGTCTAGTCTATAGTCTAGTCTATAGTCTAGTCTATAGTCTAGTCTATAGTCTAGTCTATAGTCTAGTCTATAGTCTAGTCTATAGCCTAGTCTATAGTCTAGTCTATAGTCTAGTCTAGTGTTTTTCAATTTTGTGTT